GTCGTCAGTCTGTCTATCTACATCGAAACGCCCGAGCGAAAATTCGGGCACTTCTAACTGACAGAAACGGTTCAAAGTTGCCACGTTGGTCAAGACGGGAAGACAATGCAACGTGACATTAAATTTGATTTCATTAGATGCCTAATTAATTTTTTATGAATTGATTAAAATTTTGTCCAAAATAGTAGGCTGTCTCATCCCAGTGGCGTAGCGAGGTCGGTGTCACCCGGTGCGGCACTTAATGGTGTTCCACCCCCCCCCCCCCAGAGGCATAGAGACCCTTCCCAGGGACAAACTTTCAAATTTTCGATTTGCACCCCCCCCCTCAAGTTTTCAATTTGCACCCCCCCCCCTCAAGTTTTCGATTTGCACCCCCCCCCTCGAGTTTTTCTCTATATATTTTGCTGTTTTTTGCCTTGGTGTCACCCCCCTAAATGGTGTCACCCGGTGCGGTCCGCACGCCCCCGCCCCCCCCTCGCTACGCCCCTGTCTCATCCAACTACTCCGCTTTATTATTCACACGTCATCATGTTCATTAGGTGCGCAATGGTTTTTAGTCATCGCAACTGTATTGTAAATTTTAAAAAATTTTAAGTACTGAATTTTTTTTTTCATAAAAAGCGTTTTGTGTAATAATGCATTAAAAAGTAGAAGAAATAAATTGTACACTACTATTTAAATAACTAAAAGAAAAGCGTGGGTCTCTTCCTAAATATTATAAAGGTATCAAATGGATACTACAGTGACCCACGCTGTTTTTTTCTAGTTATTTAAATAGTAGTCTATAATTTATTTTCTACTTTTTAGTGCATTATTACATAAAAGCTTGTTATTAAAACTTTTTTATGAATTTTTTTCTGTTTAAAAACGCAGGATTTAAAGTTTAATATGTTTTTAAATAATATTTTGGACCTATTATTCTTTCAAACAATGCTTTAACATTGTAACGGATGTTATTGAACTAAATCATTAAATATGTATGGATTTTTAAACGTATTATAAGAAAAAATATTAAACAACATACGTTTTATTTTATTGTATTAATTAATGGATTTTAAAAGTCAAAACTTACTAAAAATGAAAAAAAAGCGGATTTTTTAAAGTTGAATATAAACATAAAACCTGAAATTTTAGTGTATTTAAATGTTGAATCTAAATCTTATGAAAGTAAAACCATTGATGTATTTAAAAGTTGAATAGAAATATTATAAAACCTGAAGTTTGAGTGTTTTAAAAAGTTGAATATAGTTCTTATAGAAGAACCCAATCTATTTAAAATTCTAATGTAGATGTAATCCCCCGTGCAACAATTGTGTTGACACTCTCGGCCCGTCGACACCAAAACCTGACCCCAGTTAACGCAGGAGCAGACGTCAATAGTCGGGCGGCAGTCCGCGCCAGGCGATAAGCAGACGTGTAGCAGGGGAGATATCCCACAGTGGCACGTGACCTATGGGCCGCCGCACGATCAACACCGCGGGATCAGGGCCGATATCGCGGCCACTTATGGCCCGTCATTGGTGTCTGTGGCCACTGTACACCGGTGGCCCGTCATTGGTGTCTGTGGCCACTGTACACCGATGGCCCGTCATTGGCCACTGTACACCGGTGGCCCGTCATTGGTGTCTGTGGCCACTGTACACCGATGGCCCGTCATTGGCCACTGTACACCAATGGCCCGTCATTGGTGCCAGTGGCCACTGTACACCGATGGCCCGTCATTGGCCACTGTACACCAATGGCCCGTCATTGGCCACTGTACACCGATGGCCCGTCATTGGTGTCTGTGGCCACTGTACACCGATGGCCCGTTATTGGTGTATGTGGCCACTGTACACCGATGGCCCGTCATTGGCGCCAGTGGCCACTGTACACCGATGGCCCGTCATTGGCGCCAGTGGCCACTGTACACCGGTGGCCCGTCATTGGCCACTGTACACCGATGGCCCGTCATTGGCGCCAGTGGCCACTGTACACCGATGGCCATTGTACATCGCACTGTTACAGAACCCAATTTGCGCGCTCAACGCTAAATTCACCGGAACATTATTCTAAGACAATATTTTCTACTTCTAGACCTCTTTGTAAATATTTCACACCATGACATAGTGCGGCCAATAAAAAATAAAAATCACAATAAACTGTGTTTTTCTTTCCAACTGTAAAAAAAAAAAAGAATTATTTAAAATAAACTAAACTAAAAAGGTCCGCTAATTTTAGCAAGAATTGTACATACATTACCTAATACTGATCTTAAAAACCAAAAAGTTTTCCTTTAAAAAAATCAAATCAAATAAATATGAGTAGCACTGCCGCTAGCTTGGCCAGGAGGGTTCGTGCACGTCTTATATAACATAAATGTTACATCTTGTTGTAGGCATGTCTTCGGAGGCATTCCCACACCCCACCCATGATCACTTCAACCGCCCTTCACACCCCCCCCCCTATCCCACCTGAAATGAAATAGAAAAGAATGTATTAAATTCAACCTTTTTATTCCCCCCTCACCACCCATGATCACTTCAACCGCCCTTCACCCCCCCCCCCCCCGCCTATCCCACCTGAACTGAAATAGAAAAGAATGTATTAAATTCAACCTTTTTATTCCCCCCCTCCCCACCCATGATCACTTCAACCAACCTGGACCAACTATCCCTTATAACATTGTATAACATGCCTTTAGATCGCTACCTCTTCATGATGTATATAACATGTATATAACATGTTTTAGTTATGGTGACGAGAAACAAGGCTGCAATTAGTCATTTTATTTACAATAATAACACTGTAATTTAGACTCTAGGTCTGCCTGTTATTTGAAAACTATAAGTTAGGCCCAAATTAAAATAAATAAAAAATAACATTGAGTGTGTTTATACCACCTCTTAGCTATGCCGAATAAACACATATCTTTTTATTTGAAAATATGCTGCATATGAAGTTCGTTTGTGTGTGTTTAAGACATACAGTTAAATATAATTTAATTTTTTTTTTTACATCAAAAGCGTTATCCGAGGCAACAACGAATCAATGAGTTAGTTGTAAATAATGTAAGATGGGAGAACACCGCCCTTGTTGTTATATTTGATGATAGAGTTGTTCGCCTTTGATCTGCCATGTTTACATGGGGCAGAGCGTAACAGTGCACCGTGAATGTGCCTACTATTAGTCTACTTAGTTACCAGTGTTTGATTTATGCACTTTCAGAGGGCAGTGACGGGTGATAAGATTATAGGGGGGGGGGGGGGGGGTTGCTTTGTGATGGTGAGGGAGGGGTGATTTACAACAAGATACAATCAAACAACATTTTTTACATGAAATTTGAGTTATAAATAAATGTAGTGTGTAATAAATAAATGTGTGATTGCATGAAGATAATACGCTAATAATTTATTGATAAACAAGTGTTAGATCATCGAATCACCCTCCCACTTGCGAAACTTGCGTCATTTTGTTGCGAGATTGTTTGTGGCTATATTACAGGGCTAATTTGTCCAACTAAATCTCAGAGCTAGAGGGGATTGACTAATCCTAAACTAGGGTGACTGACTAATCCCAAAGTAGTGTATCTGACTAAGTGAAAGTAGAGTGTAATAATAAATGCCAATTCCAGAAGCTTTTACTTTCACCAACTCGAGTCAGGTACTCACTAGAACAGGGTGGACTCATTGACGCCCTACGGTCAGGTACCCATCACAGCTGGAGAGGGGGGGGGGGAGTGGTTGAGTATGGATGTTATGGTTATATCAGTGTGCATAGTGTGACAAAACCTGTATCCTAATCTATTTTATATCTAGCCAATTAGGAAGCTTTGGGATCGGCGTGGTCGAGTCGGTAAACTCATTGTTGCTAAACCGCATTGTCCCAAGTTCGAACCCCCGAGCAAATAAGGCTCGATACCAGGGAACAGCAACCAATCTAGGAAGAGATGCCTAGAAGAAACTCTGATCACAAATAAGAACAAAGAAAAAGGAGAAGAATCCAGCCTTAATAATAAAACAACACTATCGGTGTCAGAGGCGTAGCGAGGGTAGAGCGGGGGGGGGGGGGGGGGCGACGGACATATGTCCCCGGGCGCCGACCTTAGGGGGCGCCAAAATGGGTTTGAAAAATAAATTGAAAGCTTGAAGGGGGGTGCAAATCGAAAGTTTAAGGGGGGGGGGTGCAAATCAAAAGTCTGAGGGGGGTGCAAATCGAAAGTTTGAGGGGGGGGGGGGGGTGAAAATCGAAAGTTTGTCCCCGGGAAGGGTCGCTACGCCTCTGATCGGTATAGCAACAATCTAGTGAACGTTATCGTATCAATATTATTATGTTAAGTTGGTAGATGCGAAAAACTACAAGTAGCTCGCTATAATTTAAGATATACCAAACCGCTGTCGTCTTTTTCTCTTGTCAACATTTTTGTTTCTCAATGATCGTGTTTGTACATGTACGGGCGTCACGTGATATATGCGCCTTTTGTTTCCAGATCTGGGTATAAAATGTCCGGAACCCGAACCCCCAGAGAACGGCTTCATCGTGGGGGTGGAGACGAGCGTGGGGTCGGTGGTGTATGTCCAGTGTCATCAGGGCTACAGACTAGAGGGCCCCACGCCAATGGCCTGCATCGTCACGGACGAGGGGGCCCAGTGGGACCCTGAGGTTAGGAGAGTTTGCGTGGGTAAGTACTCACACACTAGTGTACACCCGCGGGCACCTACACACTAGTGTAGCACTCGTAGGCACCTACAGTCTCATGTAGCACCCTCGAGCACCTACAATCTATCTTAGCCTGGGTTAGCACCTACAAAGTAGCTTAGATTAGCCATCATTGAAAAACAATTCCTTTATCAAATTCACTGTAATCTCAACGCATCACCGAATTTAATTTAATGTCTGGTAACATTACAATTGCATAATATTCCAAAAAGGCGTTGCCTCTATTGACTAAATTTTTAAAATTCCTGCAATAGAAGGCAGCACAGACTTTGATGAAGACACGCAACAGAACCTCAACATGGCGGAGAGCGCGGCTCAGGGGACAGCACCCAAACAAATCAACAGAGCAGCAGTCAACAGTCAGCCATCTTTCATCAAATCTAAAGCGCACCCATCCAAGAAGCATAGAACGGAGTTCACTGAGGCGGTTCGCGAGGAAGGAGGTTGGTCGAACTTAAACACAATTTTAGACTTTAGGGGTCATGCCAGAGTTTCTTTCAGGCATTTCTTCGTGGCTGTCGTCCGACACCTCCCCCCCCCCTTTCGAAACACGTCAACAGCCCTACGCCCCTATCCTTCAACCAGTGTCCACCCACCAGAAATAAAAGTGCCCCCTCCCTTGGAGAAAAATGTCTGAAAGAAACACTGGTCGTCTATATAACCATGTCACGCTCCTATGGGTAAGAGGTGGATATTTATTAACATATTTACAAGTGAGACATTTTACATAGTAAATTTTTAGTAATAATTATTTCCCATTTTTGTATATTGTAATTGTAGTTGAATCGATTTAGAAATCTATATATACATAATCTGGTGTTCCAAAACAATTTTTTAAAAAGCTCTTGGGGTGGAGAATATTATGATTTGTTACATCATTTTAGATGGTGTCCGACAATTGGACGATGGGTGTGTCTGTGTGGAGGGGGGGGGGGGGGGGGTGATCGACATGAACACTTACGATCATTTATGGACAACTTCCTTTAACCGTGTTAAATCACACTGGTAGATCTGTGTGTGATATAACATAGTCTCTACACACGGTATATCGATATGATATTAATGATAATCAAAAGATAACGTTGGTTATCTCAGGTTTGTTAGACAGCCAAGAACGTACCACACCATTCATTTACACAACAGTGGTTCTTAAACTTTTGGAGGTACCGAACCCCACCAGATTCATACGCTCATTCACCGAACCCTCCTTAACTGTGTTATCGTCCTTATTGACAAAAAAAATAATAATCAGACCGTGAATTATAAACCTGACGTGTGTCTTGATCTCCGCCGGACCCTTGACTCATCGAACCCCTGGGGTTTGATCGAACCCAGGTTAAGATTAAAGAACCACGGGTAAAAAAAAAACAACCCACAGCAACATTGGGTATCCACCATATCTACAGAGATGCAGGCACGGTGTTTAGTGTGTTTTCGGTGTTTAGCTTGATTCAACTGAAAATCCCGCTACGGCGCTAATTTCACATCCCCCAACCTTCTAGTCACACTTTGAAACAAAAGCTGTTTTACACAATTCAGAAAAATATTTTTTTTTTAAATTAGGTACTCCAAACCAATTTTTCAAATCAGTCACACAATAATGGCTTTGGTTTTTCTGCATAGTACTAATAATTCTAAGAACGTGAATACCAACTTTATGTCTGTAGGACAATTAGAAAAAAAGTTATGCGCTTAAGAAACACGCGTTTTTTTTTACCTTTTTCGGCCTCATGAGGACCCGACTTTAGCACCGATTATCTCAAAATCTATAGCAGCTATACCCATTCTCTAACTTAATTCCAATAAAAGAGTAGATAGATTGTAGTCTCAATTTTTTTCAAACTAGTATAACAAGTTAAAGATAAACGTTTTGTGTCTTAAAAATCGTACTACACCATATTTACCAAAAATTTGACAGGGCGAAAAAAAACTAAAAAATCACCAACTTTTACAAAACCACTAAAATTCTTCTATTGCATGCACAATAATCTCCTTTATATCGATTTAAAGGGGAAAATGTTACCTAATTATGTAAATTAAATTGAGTGCTATAAATCATGCAGTTAAATGTCCAGATTTGAGAAAATAAGGTGGGGGTGAACATTTTATACCTCAACACGGCTTTAAGTCAGTTTTTTTTAAATTGACAAAGAATACCAAAACTTAACAGATATATAGAAAAAGTTATTTATTTGTAACTACAGTTAATCTACTTTTAAAAAGAAACATTCTCAGTGAAATAATTTAGTGTTAGATCGCTGAAAAACGTTAATAAAAATGCACGATTTCAGGATTAAAATCGGGCCGAGATTAAAAGTAGACAACCTATTTTAGACTTATTTTTAGCAAATTACGACCCGTAAATGAAGAAAAAAGAAACACAGGGTGATAAAGTATACCCATAACTGTAAAGACTAATCGAATTATATATTTAGCAGATAGTTTGGACATTTTAAATCGGATAATCAGTTCTTATTAGCGTTTTTATCGCAATTTTCTGTAGTTTTCTCTCGAAACGTTGCCGGTCGAAAAACTAGGTCAGCGTGACCTTTTACTAAATATATTCAAATTTTACAGATAAAGTTTAGATTTAAATTATAAATACTTAAATATTTTCATATTTTATTGTATTCTTTTTAATATTGAACTGTTTTTATTGTGATATAATGCGTAAGAAAAAATAGATTTCTATTTAAACACGTCAGGGGTCTGATCCGGGCCGGGCTTATATTTTCTTTGTAAAAAATTTCGTGATCGCGTCGGCGAACGGGAGTTACACATGGTTTCGTTATCGCGCTTTGCCATTCGCGCCATCTTTGATATTGTAAAGATAGTTTCGCATTTAAATAGAAAAATGGACGATCTTTCTAACCATGCTAGTAGAAAATTTGAATTTTTAGTGGATTTTGGTGAAAATTCAATTTTTCGTAGAAAATTTGAGAATTAAACCGTTTTTACTAAAATAATTTGTTAACATTTTATACGAGACTAAAGGTCATTCAATCCTGCGTACGATAAGCTATGTTTAGAATTCATACGTCACGTGGCGCCGAAGCGCAAAGCGTCAGAATGCGATAGGGGTAAAAACGGGTCTGTCATTTTGCCGATAAAAATCGTTGCGGTGATGTTTTTCAAGCTACAAAAACATATATTCTTCCTTTACCAATATAAAAACAAACAACACATTATTGTAGAGCTTAAGTTAAACGTTCTAACCATACCATTTTTATTAGTATACGCTTAATTTTTATGGGAGAACTTTGTGATGGAAAGTAGTAAAAAAGTAAAAAAAATGAGCAGAAACCTCGATTTTCGGCAGTTTGGAGTACCTATTTAAATTAGAAAAAACAACAACACATGAACCAAGGAATGTTGAGTGTTAGGTACTTCTAGCACAATGTAGAATCTTATTTCCTTTCATTAAATCGTTCTAGTCTTGCACAAGGTGACATTTTACCATAGTACAGAGGCGTAACGAGTGGGGGGGGGGGGCATATGTCCCCTGGCGCCGACCTTAGGGGGCGCCAAAATTGGCTGGAAAAACAAAGTGAAAGTTTGATTGGGGGGGGGGGGTGCAATTCGAAAGTTTGTCCCCGGGTTGGTCGCTACGCCTCTGCCATAGATGATAGAATGATAGTGCGCCTCACGTTTGCCCTTCCATCCACATTTGGTATATAAAATCTATTATATTTTATAATGAAAACAGATAGAAGTTCGCTTACACGATACGACTTGCTTTTTTTAAAATGTGTAAGTGTAAGAGTAGACGGACCATGCAGAATTACCATACTGAAGTTTACAACATAAGGGAGATAATCATTAGTATTAGTAGAAAAATAAAATTGAAAAAAAAAAAAAATTCTCGCTGGATCCAATTAATGAGCCTAGTGCGGGCAGAGGAACATATCGATGTTATCAATTATGTGCACTTAATTACAGTCTTGAATAAACCCTCCGTTCATATACAGATAGTACATAGGGTAACTGACCACCTAGTCAAGAGGTGGGGGTGAAATGTAAATTGACGTTTTAAAAGGCAATATATTAGAATTTAACATGTTGAAAACAGAAATTAGGCGACCTAACTGCAGCACTTATTGGCCTGTACTGGTAACATTTACTGTCAACTTTCAGAACCAACAGCTGAAGAACTGGAACAAGTCCCAGAACAGTGCAAGCCCAAGCCTGAGGCAGGCCCATGTAGAGCCTTGTTCAAACGGTTCTACTTCAACCAGATCACCATGGAGTGCCACACATTCTTTTACGGGGGTTGCCAGGGCAACCAAAACAATTTCCAGTCCATTGAAGAGTGTAATCTGACCTGCCTACCAAAACACGAGTGACCATCCGCATAAATTATAAGATGTTTCTGGTGGTTTGAAAGGTTTTAACTTATGCACAACTTTCACAGTACGAATGACATGTTTGAATGCTTGTTGTGTCATTCTTTGTCATAATTGTTGTAATATATCAAATCCATAATCCCGGGTGAGCGGCAATTTTATTCTCTGGTCAGTTCATCAAGGTCCACCATACAAAAAGAAAGGACAACTTGTATCTGAAGCCGTGTCAGATTTGCATAATGTAGTGTAATAAATTTTACTAGGGTGTAAGTTAGAGGTATGGTAGGATTGGAATGCAATAGTTTGTTTCAAGTCATGTTACACAAAAAATTAAAGGCTTCACTAAAATTAACCCAATTCTCAATGTGTTCTTTTGTACAAATTAAAAGAACCAAAATTATGGCAGCGGATGTTCTCGATTTGATAATAAATATTTTCAGGACATATGGATTTTTAGAGGGTAGCTTTGAATATGGCAATAACATGAAAATCTGGTGTGAGGCTCAACATTCAGGTATCCAGATCAGTTAGAAAATTACGTTTATATTTTGAATCTTCATAACTTGAAATAGCTACTAATAATAGTTAACCTTGCTCCCATCAGGTGAAATGGGTCTTTTGACTACTGTCCAAGTTGCTAAATTTTTAGGATCCATATAAATATAAAGCAAACTACAAGTGGTGTCCATAAAGTTAACCACATAGCTTTTCAAAACCAGGTACATAAATAATTCCTGGAAAATTAAGCTTAGATAAAATATTTTCCATGGCATTGTATCCCCTGTATTTAAAATAAAAATGTAACTTGATCACTATCAAATACAAAAATTAACAGGAGAAACTTTCCTCAACTTGTACAGCTAAACAAGCGTATTTGTATTGCAAGTCATCACTCAAACTATTATGTGTAAAGCACCCCACCTATTTAATTCTTTTAGCCATCAGACCTCACAAACACATCAAGATTAAATGAGAGACAAAACAAATGGCTAACAGACTTCCTTTATTAATAGTTTAAGCAATGATCTCATAAGGAATAGGTGTCAAGAATTCAGGCTTGACTCTCTTAGTGCTGACAAAATGGGCTTTCCTTGGCTGAGCGGGCTAAAGAAAAAAAAACAATACCAGTTACTTAACTGTGTTGGTTTTGAACAAATAAAATTCAGGGTCATAAAAACAATGTACTCACAACTCTCTTAGTGTTAGCTTTAACACCTGTCTCCTTAGCTTGTTTCTTCAGCTCTTCATTTTTCTTGACGCGTTTCAAGAAATCAAGACGGCAGTTACTGTGCTTAACATGCTCAATTCTGACATTGATCTGTTTGGGGATAATACGGTTGCTGAAACAAAATCAAGACAAATTAGCTATCCGTTTTCAACAGGTTAAATCATGTGCGATTGATATATAGTTAACATCACAAAAATATAACTACTCACCCCAACTGTTTATTGACAACCACACCAACAGCATGAGGGGTTACATTGAAAACACGACCAGTCTTTCCGTGATAGAACTTGTGTGGCATACCTTTTTGAATGGCACCATCACCCTGGAATGGATAGTTTCTTGTGTAAAAAGAAATAGCTAATAACTGCAGGTATTGCTGTTTTACCCAACCACCAATTAAATGGATCATTTATTGTTAGACATAAAAAAAGCTAATAGATACAAAGATAAGGGAATAAAATTTTATAACAGAATTACTGACCTTAATGTCAACGATGTCCCCACGTTTGTAAACTGACATATAACGTGACAGCTTGGTCACACCTTTGTTTCTGAATCTACGTGAGAACATGTACCGCGTGCCGCGGCGATAACCTTTTGGATTTGTCATTTTCAATCACTAGGAAGAAAAACAATTCAACAACTTTTATGACATACTGCTTGACCAAGATTTAAAAAAACAGGGCTATCTGTTACCTATACAGTGATGGGGTGTTAAGTTTGGGGCTTGAAAACGGGTTAAGGCAGGGGTAGTTTTTGTTTACCCCTATGAAGAATTTAATGATTAACGTTCTTTTGGGGCATTATGCTGCCTCTCAAGTAGATTATTAATTTTATTGGAGTTTTGTGGAAGTAAGGTGCTGGCCAAGTACCCCATACTCTTCTTAACCACATACTTATACTGGGGTCTAAAATTTGTATTCAGCCCAAGAGGAAGGCATTTTGTTCCGCCAGTGTCATAAAGGGGTTTGACCAAGGTAAGGAAAATTAACAAGTAACTTTGCTCACTATCTTCAAATAGAAGATTTCTTGAATGATGCTAAACAATGAGTTAAAAAAAAAGGTGTTAAGACAAATTAAGCCACACAGGGTATTTAAAATTGTTGTATTTTCTATCTCACTTTAAAAGGCCTAATTTAGAGACTAAAATTATGCTAGGCCTAATGAAATTTAAAAAACCATGTGACCACAAGTTGGTGATCACTTGTGAGAAACTCATGTGCATAGCCAGTTAAAAAGTCAAACCCAATTTGTGGCTTGCTGTGGTTTCAAACACGAGGGTTATATAATATAGGCCTAAATATGACTGTAATGGAAACGTGTGCAGTGCTATGAGCTAAAACTCAAAATTAGAGCCTAAAGAAAAAAATATGAATGTCTCTTATTCAGCGGTCATGTTTAAACTGAGTAGATTTAGCAAGAATAATCTCTTAAAAGAAAAGCATAAAAGGCAATAAAAGCAGGTCCAATCACTGTGTATCTACACTTCTGCCAAGCTGCACCTCCACACCCCTATTTTATGAATCCCTAAAAAATCCATCCCTGAGAAAGTCTGTATTCAGATTCTAACTAGATCTAAATGTTTTAAGTAGGCCTACTACATCAGGTTTTATTATCTACAAAATAGGTGATGTACAAGTTATGCCAGCTATGATTAGTTAGTGCTTTGGACTTGGTCATTTGTTGAAATTTTCTCTTTGGAAACAATTTTTCTTAAGTTTGTATTGAAAAAATAGCTAGTCTTTCAGTGTTTAAATAGATCTATATCTAAATATTACGTAACGTCAATAACCATAACATTTAAATTCTTAACTGTAATCTGATGGTAGTATTTCCTAAAAGAAATGGTCTAGAATCTAGTGCTAACCCGTCTAAGTCTAGATCTAGTCTACACTAGTATCACGTTGGTTATCGATAACAGGTGTACTTTTAACTTGATGTGGTAAATCAGACAACAGTGTGTTACTAGCGAGCGCTAAAGCTCAAAATCTAAAATTTAAACATAGAATAATTTTACATACCAAAAACGTATGCCTAATAATTAAAAGAAATAATTATTCTGATGGAATAAAAGAAAAAACGAAGTACCAATAAGTTTGCCCTGTCACCCACACGGCTTTTGGAAGAGGAAAAGGACCGGTGAAAAGGAAGCGGATATGGCTAAAAAATTTCCCCAATGAATTAGCCCAAGCCAATTGAAATATGAAACAAAGAATAACAGAGCGTGATAATTTTCGACATAGCAAATATAAAAGATCTACGTAGAGCATTGGGATATTCCACTGTTAAATATTTTTAAAAATCTTCGTAATTTTTCGATGATTCTAAATTAGTAATAATTGTAAACGGCTACGTAAAAATGTATGCATTTGATGCTGTCTTTTAACATGAGGCCCACATCCACTACATTACAATTACACAGGTGCCGTGCTATTGTTCTACACTACACATATGCCCTAACGCCGACCTACCCTTTGACAAAACAGCTTGACATAATTTATGGGCGATCCCTTGTGTGGTATAATATGTGCACGAGCCCGAAAGGCGTAATGCATTTTTTCCACATACTATTCTAGTGGTCTACGTCTTTATTTAAGGAAAAGACTTCTTTGTTATTTTTAACAATCACAATAGGAGACTTCATTTGGGACTTTTAAAAAAAAATCTGAAATTCTCGGAAACTTAATCCAAGAAAGACATGTTTTGTAAACAGTTTTTTTTACCCACCACAACCACCTATAACACAGAGGCGTAGCGAAGGGGGGCAGGGGGTACATATGTCCCCGGGTGCCGACCTTAGGAGGCGCCAAAATGGGTTGGAAAAACAAATTAAAATCTCATTTTAGCTGCATTTTTGCTTTTTAAGTATACAAAAATATATAGGGGGGGGGGGGCTGTGCAAATCGAAAGTTCGAGGGGGGTGCAAATAGAAAGTTTGAGGGGGGTGCAAATCTAAAATTGAAAGGTTGATCCCGAGGGGGGGGGCGCCAAATTGAAAGTTTGTCCCCGGGCGATGGAAAGGGTCGCTACACCTCTGATTTAACATTATTGCATATCGCATATCACCACACCTGAAATTATATAACACTTCCAGGAAACGGCATTTATGCACCTTATAACGATGTGTCAGCTATATTATGGATATACGTTCCGTAATTTTCGAAAATTACTGAGTCATGGGCCTATTCCATGAGTTACTTTTAATGTATAAGCATACGGTAGGGCTATATAGAACAGTATTAGATGGAATAATAAGAATTCAATTCAACTATTACTATTATTAAGAGTTAAGTAATTTAAATATTTGTACGGATGCTGTCACTGGTTAGTAAAATAATTAACCAATTTTTTGTAGGAAAGTTGAAAATTAAATGACGTTGCTCCGCACTTCAATAAAAATAAAATGAAAACTATTATTATCTTTACACCGTAATGTTAACTTGCCAAATTGAATGTGACAAAAAATAGAAGCATCAATTAAAATGTGAACCTCAAAATGTACTTAATTAGCAAATAATTCAATAACTACTAAATCATTTCAAAAACATTTAATTAGTTTAAAATTAAACATATTTAGCAGTGTTTTAAATAAGCTGTATACAACAATATACAATTTTAAAATAAAGAATGGCTTACCGACGCATCCTTAAAAAAAAATTCATTAGTTTTTGGTTTTAGCTATCGATGCCCATAATGCACCAATGAAAACAATATGGCTGCTTACTTGCAAAGTATACTTCCTTATTTAACAACAGAATAATGTATGTGTCTGTTATTGGATCAAGCAAATACTAAGTCGCAAACATAACTACTTTGAAACCTACGTTTAGCGCCTGCTGCGCTGTTGGAGAGATGGTTAGATATGTTCTATATATACTGCAATACCTTAAATTGTAAAATCGATGATAGATTTTTTAATTTAAAAAAAAATGATTTGTTTGGAATCGAATGATGAATGATTTTCAAATGGACACAACTGAGAATAGTCTCAAACTGACTCAAAGTTATTTGCCAGGCCCGCTACATATTTAAAAAAATAATGTACGATATTAAAATATCTAGGCCGATGCTAGCCGGAAAATGATACGCATGCGCAATGGAGAGAAACTACGACTTGCCATCGCGGCGATGTTTTCGATGGTACTGCGCATGCGTGTGTTTACAACCGCAGAACCCTAACACCAACCCTAATCCTAGCCCTAATCCTTTCCCTAATTCTAACCCTAGCCATAGGTCACTGCGCAGAGCTATATTTTGCCAACTAAGTGGAAACGTTGGGGAGAAAAATCTTCTTTAGAGTAGTCACTTCAAAATAAATATGGCTATGAAAATCAGACTGATTTTTGTTGGACTTGACTAAAACTTAAAAGTAAAGATTGGACGTAGATAGATCTAGTCTAGATTTAGCTAGGCCAATGCAAAAATTTAATTTCAGTAAAACAATATAATAGTTACATATTTGGATAGGGGCTGTCAATCTGATTACAGATCAGTTTGAATTTTCAAAATCTGACCATAAACAAAAAAGTTATGAATTTTTTAGTCATTAAAAAACAGCAGTTTTTTCAGACAACCGGGGTAGACTCTGAAAGAGGAAAAATACTGGGAGGGTATGGACCAAATTTTTAAGCGTTTTTCACTAAAAGTGGTATAAAAGCCACAATACTTTATCAATTGATGTAATTTTAAGACATTTTATAGATTTTTGTATGCTGAATCCAATGATGCTATTTTAAAAAGTGTCCTTCGATTACTCAACCTACTAATCTCATAGATTATGTAATACCCCCTTTCAATTTTTTTTAAACATCTAATAATCAATGTGATAAGCCATTCTTTAAATGTAACGCTGTTTTAATCTAAAATATGATATTTGTATATGCTCAAGCTAATGGTAGATTTAAAATGGTCCAACATTGTTACATAACTATCAAATGTTAAGGTTATGTAATCCCACCCTTTGCTCAAAATATACCATGAATTTGTTTTAAAATCACTTTTGCTCATTGTCAGTTAACTTCAAGTTAATAGCCTACTAGAAGAAAATATAACTAATCAAGCTTTTCAATACAAAGAGAATGCTATAGTAAATTTGTGATTATGTAACTTTTTAAAAGATGTTATGCAATCTATGTGCAATACTATAGGCCTACTCTGTTCCAAAAATAAAGGCCTATCTCATTATAATTATATTTCTTGTTATTTTAAATATCTTAATCCTTTTTGCTATAGAATTAGTCTAGTTACAAATGTGTCTGATCAGAATCAGAGTGTGCTTTATGGTAATTACGTAATATTATTACCCATATTAAAGTTAATAATTTTTACAATGTCAATTAAATAAACTTTGGAGGAAAATATTTGTTTAAAAACTTGCACAAGATATAGTTAAGTTATAGATATATAACATAAATTTATATTTATGCCCAATGTTTATGCTAGTAGTAAGTAGGTTTATGAATTTTGTAAGCAGAGTTTCTTCCAGGCATCTCTTCGGGGGGGGGGGGGGGGGGCTGAACTAGGTCATGGGGTTTAAAAATTTTTTTTTTTTATTTAGGCATAAAAATTGTATTAGCAAAGTTTTGAGTCCAAATTATTGATTTCTTTTTATGAAGTGTGGGTTTTCAGGATATTGATCATAGTTTTATAATATTGATTTTAAAAATATTAAATTCCTGAATTATTTTGAGGCTTAGGCCTAAAAAAAGTTTTACTGTCGCTTTGATTGCAAAAATCTATCCACATCAACTATATTGATGGAAGGATTCTTGTCAACTCATTCATGTCCATTTTTAATTGATTTAAATTTCAGATGACTGAAATGCTGCTGTTGTTTTTTATTTAGCTTGTCTCACTACATTTTAAATTAAATTATTTCCTAATTTTCACTCTCTTTCAGATTTTGATAAAAATATCAAAATTAATTAGCCTAGCTAAACTATTTATTAAAAAAGTAGGCTATCAATAATCTGCATCACAATACTAAACAAAAGTTTATTCGACATATATTAACTTTTTGTCCTAAGTCATTATTACTGGAAAAATAATCCAAAGACAGGGTCGGATTTCCTTCATAACTTTTGTAAAAAAAAAACAACTTGGCAAGTAGTTCTAGTTCTTAGAATGTGACCTTCATAAAAACTCTTATACTCTTGTTTGCTTTTAATTTAAAAAATGTGCTTAATCTTATCAACATATGTTGAAAATTTAAATTACAGCTTTAAAGTGTGATAAATAGCTGAGTAAACTCATGCTTTCTTTATGGGGTGTGGCATATCACAAATGCATTCTATTTTAGGTATGGTATAAAAAATAGTCATACATCTAGCTTAAGCTGAATGATTGGATTTTGGGCAGTACACCTTTTCCTTTGCTTCATTTTCAGAAAAAAAGATTTTATTATAAAATTGCATTATAGGGTTTGATATTTTTACCTTAGAAATATTACTAGACATTGCTATCTATATAAAACTAATGCTTTCAAGCATCTATTTGCTGGTTTTATATTGCTAATATTAGTATTGTTTAGGAGTTACTTGATTTGAATTGAAAGACTAAGAGAGCTACTTTCACTAAAGCACTGCTTGCAAAACAAAGAAATGAGGTCAAAAGTACATTCAACAGTTCTTAATTAACAGACTTAAATAGAAACGAGTAGTTCTTGTATCTAAAATTGGCGATGGCTTTAAAATCAACACCATCTGCACTTGTAGCGCTAGGGCAGTGAGATGGAGTCACAAACAAACCCAGAAGTTGTGAGCCAAATGGCCTAGCCCATATCAGTTATTTATATTAGGCCTAAAAGTTAACAAAGCAGCAAATTTAAGGCTCTAATTGATATTCTAGGACTGAAATAATTCAAATTCAGTATTTAAATAGTATCAATATAGGCCTACTCTGCAAGTCATTTCACGATAAGGAAAAGAAACTTAATGTGTAAAATGCCATGAAGCTGTTGATTGTCATAAGACTACATATTATGTACACCTACACAATACATTAACATATTTGTCATCAAACTCACCATTGTACTTACAGGGAGCAAATGCTTCCCAGTTAGAAAAGGAAATTGGTTCTGAGCAGTTCCCAACCAATGAACATTACTTTGGTTTGGTAAATGTAAGTATATCCCTATCATTACTTTTTGGAAACTATCCAACTTCACATCTTGTCATATTACCTTCTACATAACATAACAGTAATAATCATATGTGGTTGGACATTTTTATTTGTCTATGAAAAAAATAAGTAAAATATAAGTGGCTTTACAGTATGGCATTCACAAAAGGATGTCTTCATTCTGTGGTATTGATTTGTAAAAATAATGTTTTTCTTGTTTCAGTTCGGGAACACATGTTATTGTAATTCAGTGCTGCAGGCGCTTTATTTTTGTCGGCCATTTCGTGAAAAGGTACTTCAGTACAAGCACCAAGTGAAAAGTATTAAAAAAGAGACGCTCCTCACTTGTTTGGCTGACCTGTTCTACAGTGTTGCCACGCAGAAGAAAAAAGTTGGGACTTTAGCTCCTAAGAAGTTCATCACAAGGTTACGAAAGGAAAATGGTATGTTGTTACTTCATTGTTTCTGCTTTGAAAATATTCTTGATAAGCTCAGTCCTGCATAAAATGAATATATTGATGACAATTAAACATTTTGAAAACCTTTTTTTATAGAATTATTTGACAACTACATGCAGCAAGATGCTCATGAGTTCCTCAACTATCTACTCAATACAGTGGCTGACTTACTCACTGGTATGTTGATTACTGAGAAATGGTTCATAGGTTAGGTAAACATCTAGCATGTGGTTACTCAAAGTTACTGGCTAGTTGAAGTTTGTGCCTGTGTTAGCTCTCATTAGAGTGGCTGACTTACTGGTAAGCTGATTACTGAGATACTTGCATCAAATGGCTCATAGGTTAGGTAAAGTTTGTGACTTGAAGCCTATAATAGTAAAGTTCCCTTTCAAACCTGATGGTCCATGGGACAAGAGAAGTAGAGTAAATCTGTTTCTGTGACCTCGGCGTATGAAAGGATAGTGTGGTCAGCACTATGCCCAGCCATCTTTACTAGTTCACTTTCTCTAATGTGAGTCAGGTACCCATCAGAGTTGAGTAGAGTCAAGGACATTCTACAGACTTTAACCTGGATTTTAATTCTTTTGGGTTATGACTTGTATGTTCTACCAATCAATTACATCACCTCATTAGAGGCCTGGAATAACTCAACTAATCTGGTCTGTCTGCTGTTTGTGATTCTAACCCCATTCATGATTGTGTTAGGTGTCTGTACCACTGGTTAATAGATTAGGTGAACGTTGTTCTGATCAACCACACTGGCTATACTGTAGGAAAAAACTGAGTGAGAGTGAATGTTGCATCAACTAGGTCATCAAAGCTATATTTTTAAACAAACTTTAATTTTATCTTAATTGTTTCGACATTCCATGTTGTACCATATTATAATTGATAATGTAATGTAACTAATTTAACATAAATAGCTTTTACTCATTGCATATCAGTAACTAGTTTTTTTCATCCTTGATATCATTTGTTTCAGCTGAGAAGAAAGGTAACCAGAAAACTCCAGAAACAAACCCGAACATAAAGCCAGATCCTACTTGGGTCCATGAAATCTTTCAGGGAACACTAACCAATGAAACCAGATGTCTGAACTGTGAGACTGTAAGTTATTTTTTTGTGGGTCTTAGACGCGTTACATGTGCTGTTATAAATTACAACGATGGTGCATAATTGAGGGATGGTGTGATCGAGTGGTAGAGCCTCCGATTGCTAACCCGAAACCTGGATTATGGATCCCTGACTCTGTATGATGTCCCTGAGTTCACCTGGCTCTGGTTGGTACCTGATTCACTTCAGGGAAAGTAATAGCAGCATAGCATAGTGTTCACCACACTATGCTTTTATATTTCAACATCACTGAAAAATGTGAACTCTTCTTCACTTGCACCACAGACTGTAAAATTCATAATGGTACTTTACTTTTCATGTTGTAACTATCTTATTACTGGTTAAAACATGGTTTATTTTCTTACTTAAAATACATTAAGAATGTTGTTTACTCTAACTTTTTTAACAAAACTAATAAACTAAATTTGTGTTGTTTTCCCCTCTTCCCTCCAGGTGAGTAGTAAAGATGAGGACTTTTTGGATTTAAGTGTGGATGTGGAGCAGAACACGTCTATAACACACTGCCTTAGAGGCTTCAGCAACACAGAGACCCTGTGCTCAGAGCATAAATATTACTGTGAGGTTTGTTGCAGCAAGCAGGAGGCTCAAAAAAGGTAGGAATCTCACTTATGCAAATTATTTCAAATCTAGCCGGTGATGTTTTATATTTTTATTATTTGAGTACATAAAATTCATTTATCCAGGCATTTTCATAATAGTACATCAACCCATATTTCCTTCTAAATTGAGCCTTAATGGGCCAAAATATTTCCACTATCTGCCATACTACCTATTGGCGAATGCGGTGTTCTATTTTTCGATTTTTTGGTAATTTACACAATTTATTGAATCCCTTGTAGGATGCGTGTGAAGAAACTACCACAGATCTTAGCGCTACACTTAAAGCGTTTCAAATACATGGAGCATCTGAATCGCTATATTAAAGTTTCCTATAGAGTTGTGTTTCCTCTTGAACTTCGCCTTTTTAATACAGTAAGTTCAGTTTACTTTTTTTAACCATAATCTTTTTAAAATTTACTTTTTTTGACTTATTATTCTTTTCTTTTTTTTACGTAATAAGTTATTTTTGTCTCTCTAATAGTAATTTTTTCTTACATTTTAACACAGTGTATTACTGTTACCTTTTAAGGGTAATTTAAAAAAAAAATTCTTTTACCAAAGTAAGTTATTTTTACCTTTTTAACACAGGAAGTTTTACCTTATAAACACTGGCATTTTCACTGCTCCAACAGGGTTTTACAGTTGTAAAAAACAAAAAGTTCATTTTTATCATTTTAATAGTATTTGTTTTACCCTCTTTAACACAGTATATTATGTTTACCTTTATAAAGGTAATTTGTTTTTTAAACAATTTTACAGTAATTTTGGGTGTCAAATTTTAAAATGATTATTTAGTGCTATTTTGAAAGGATTTTTCCAAAAACCTGTGTTTACTATTTGATGCATTGCTTTTGCAGTCTGATGACGCCTTTAACCCAGAAAGACTGTACGATTTAGTGGCTGTAGTTGTGCATTGCGGCTCCGGGCCTAACAGGGGGCACTATATCAGCATAGTCAAAAGTCATGGCTTTTGGCTTCTCTTTGATGATGATATTGTAGATGTAAGTCTTTTTAGTTACAGTCCACAGTGGCATCTATAACAGTTGTTGTGCCATTTACTCTTCTATGTCTTGTTTAGACACACTCAAACCATGAGCACTTCCGTTCATTACAAGAGACATTAATAAAGCAAAATTTCCGATAGTAAGGTAGAATACAACGTTCAATGTTCAGAATTTGTTTTTTTAGCTGAACTAAGTCTTACATTCACTAGACACAAACATACCTGCACATTTTTACACCTGCTTTCAGTTGTAATCCTAAAACCCACTTGTAAATCTTAAATATCAGTCTTTTAACCACAGTTAGAGATATACCATGGGATTAACTCAAATTGCAAACTAACGCTTAAATAGTATCCTAAATTTTGAATTGTGTGATTATTTTTTAAAAGTATTAGTTTGTAATGGCTGTGTTGTCTGATTTCTCATGCAGATTTTTTTTTTTTCTAATCAGAAAATTGATGCCAGCCAAATAGAAGAATTTTATGGAGTGCCATCCGATTTGCAAAAGAACTCTTCAGAATCTGGTTACATTTTATTTTACCAGTCCAGGGAATGAAATGTGTTCAGTGTTAAGTTTTTTGTTTTGTTTGACACTTACAAGAGTAGCAGGGTAGATTACTGATGTGTTTATTTGGAGTTTAGGGGGTAAGTCTGCATTTGGGCTCATTACAGCTTTCTATTCATTTATATAATCTATTTAAAGTATGTTTCGTAGGATGATTCTTTAGGCACCCGTTTTTTGGTTTTTTATTTTACTGCTGTTAGTTTTAAGCTACACATTTTGTTTTCTTTAGAAAAAATAGTTTAAAAAAGTAAGCAGAATATTATAGTATTTTTATAGCTTTTCTAAAAGTTCATCTGAAAAGAAATTTTTTTTATTATCAGTATACATTTTTTAATGTATAATTTCTTACGATGCCATTATCTAAAAATTTTGAAGCCGTGATTTACCATGTGGTTTTAAAAGCTACAGATTGTGAACAGTCTTTGTATAATTTCTCTAGGATTTGCATCCGGTCCACATAAAGTATCCAACATCTAGCACGCCCTTACTGGCTAGTAGAAGTTTGTGACTTAAGGCCTGTGATAACTCCCAACTTATCTTGTGATATTAAGTCTCTTCTGTTAGTTTGTTGTACTCCAAACCTATTCATGTTTGTGACAGGTGTACAAACTGTTGTAAAATAGGGTAACATAATTGAAGCTAATGAGTTTCAGAACCTTCCTGTTTGGTCAGTCATATTGTAATTAAGTTTGGCTGTTTTTGTTTATACAGTTTCTTAAAATCTTTTTTCCAGTGTTTTATCAGCACCTTTGTCATTCTACACCTTCAGAAATGTTGGCTTATTTTGTGTCTTTTTGCCATAATTTGATAAATTGGTAGGTGCAAAAGACAAGGCTTGACCAATTGTATGATACAGAGATCAACTTATCCAAACTTAAAAACTTCACATTTACTTAATTAACCCCTCAAAGATTCTAAATAAGAAATGAGGTAGAATATTTTTAAAACAAATTGTACAAAGATGTTCATTAATTACATTAGGTTTTAAAACAGAAGTTTATTTATGACTATAAATACAGCAAGTTCAAAACAATTTGTATTTTTATAATCAAACTCTATCAGCTGTTGGTAGATATTTTTTGTTTGTTTTATTGCAAATCGAACTATTTAATTTTATTATGTTCTTTTGTTACGGACATCAGTCCTTTCCAGTGTTATAAAATAGTCAAAGCTTGTTCCTGTCTCCAAGATGTGTTTACCTTTTCACTAAGTTTTTTAAGCTATTGCCAGTTGTACTCAGCTATAATCTGTACTGAGCTGGAACATTTTATCCCTGTTAAATTTAAATAACTGTATATTTAGATGGATGATTTAAAAATCAGACTAATGTTAAACGATTTTCACTGAGTAGTTTTTCACATTTTTAAATTAAGTTATTTAGGTTAGTTAAAAATATTTTGAAGTTTTGCACTGATTGTACCCACAACACAAGTTTTAACAATTATTTTAAACAGAGAGTACTGCTTAAAAAAAAAACAATTTATATTGACTCTGATCATAGTAGATTTATATTTACTATTTGTAAAATAAATATTTTCAAACCTGTCAAAAAACACTAAAACCTTGATCTCCATGTTAAAGGTGAAAAATATCTTTCTCTGGTGAGGCACTTTAGTCTAAACAAAATGTAACATATTTTGTCACTGATATCTTCAGCCCTTCTTCAAAGCTTCCTTGTATGAATGCTGTTGAAGGCCAAAATATCTTTCTCTGGTGAAGCACTTTAGTCCTTAATGTAACAAATTTTGTATCTGATAGCTACAGCCCTTCCTTACACCTTCCTTGTATGTTTGCGTAAACAGCTGCTTACAGACATGTAAATATATTGTAATATTATATTCCTATGTCAACTTGTTATGGATTGTTCCACCCCCACCCCCCTCAGAGTTCAATCAAGTCTATCTTTGAAATAAAAAAATTGGTTGTGTTTTTGCATTATTTACTAATGCAAACATTTTTTCCTCACTTGATTATGTTGTATATAGAATGGTGGGCTGTTTCTATTTAATCTTATATTGAACTGCCCCAAATGTAGAATATTGTCAAGTATCTCTGATATGTTTGAGTTGTGTTATAACATTCTTTGTTGTTTTTTTTTTAATTGACCAATCATTACATCTGTCCATTGGAGCAATTTTCATAAATGTTACTTTTAAAGTTAAAACATTTGTTACATTAGATTTTTTTAAAAGAAATTACGCAATGGGAGAATTATTTATACATTCTCATTTTTTTATTATTAGCTTTTAGACAAAAAAACCAAACTCCAATGACTAAATGATGATGTCTTGTGTATATAATTTTGTAAAGAATTAACTGTAATGATATTTGCACCTTTGTCACAACAGTTTGTCGTCACGTCTGATATTGTCATAATCACTGTTCAAAACCAGTTACCCAGATCATAGAAAAATTTCAGTCCAAGTTTTTTATTGTTTAGTTTTCACTTCCACACAAGCCTTCTTAACTAAGGCAGTCAAACTTCAGTGAGGGGCCAGTTTAGTGGGACTATATTTACAGTGAAAATAGCAAAATGATTATGTAAATATATAAATCAGTCTTAGAAATTCTTACTGTAAAAATATCCAAGTGCCTTTTCAATCTAGATATAGGCATACCTTCTTTTAATCAAGCATATAAACCTGATTGTTTTTCCCCATTAATATCCGCATAAATCACGTTAAAATAGGAGTTCATAATTGTATCCAAGATTTGACAATCATATTTTGTTTTCTAACTAGGGCTAAAGATACCTTTATTTCTTATTACTAAATGTATCATTATTGCATATATATGTAGGTAGTCAAATAAGCAAACTCAATAATGTACTAGATACTGCAGATGTTAAAACCCCTTATAAATGCATTACAAAAAATTAAAACAGTGCAATAGATACTGGTACTCAATTTTTAAAATCCCACTTGTTCTTTGTTTTAGATTTTTTAGTTTTGTACGTAGCATGTCTGCTAGTAGCTTTTTTCTACTTTTAAACTACACAAGCAGTAGCTGTTCAAAAGTATAGTTTTTTTTATAACTATTTTCTTCTAGAATTCTTTTTACTGTTAGTTTTTTTTGTAGATTGTTTTACATATTGAGAGATATATTAGTATTGACCGTCTGACATAACTGACATTTTTGTCGACTGTCTTACATGGTGACAGCAACTTTTTTGCCGTCTGATATTGTAACATGACCTGTAGGCTCACATAATTTTGATGTATGTGCTGTTTTATGCTGTTGGTTTCTGTTGAACTTAGTTGATCTGTGTAAATAATATCTTCATGTCTAATTAAGGTGACCTGTCCAGCTAGATCCATTTTTTCAAATTCACTCAAACTGTTAGATCGGAGAATACCTAATAAAGCTTTTGTTAAAAAAAATTTTCTTGTGTTCTTTTTTAACACCTGCTTTACAACAGTGTCAACTCAAGGCCTCTAGGATTAAAAGAGTACAAACTGAATATTGAGTGATAATTTAGGTTTAATAAAAACAATTCCACCGAAAAAATGGTCATGTATAAATACATTTATAACCCAAGACACCAAATAATGAAAATGAATGAAGCTACAGCTAGTGAGAGCAGGTAGGCTGTCAGTATAATAATTGATGTGCAAAACTGTGAATCTGACATTTGTTTAATGGGGTTTGTTAAAAAAAAACAACCAATGTTTTCTCCAGGAACAAACATTTTGATTGATGCACACTGCTTGATATTTTTCAAAACAAAACCAGAATATACAAATACAATAACAGTAATATGAAAGGAAAGGATGTTTAAAATTAAAACAAAACAATATTTCACAATACTGTGGAAATTAAAATAATTACTTTGATGTTAAGAAACAGAATGAATCAGGTCTTTTTAAAAAACTTGATACAAACAAACAACAATTTAAATCTATTATAAACAAACAATGCAAAATTTCAAAGTTGGATTGTATATATAGATCTAGCACACAAAAAATGCTATCAGTAAATCAATCCGTATGTAAGGACTTATTAAACTTTCAAACTTTAATCATTTACAACATGAGCACTTATTCCATATTTTTAAAAAAATGGTCTGATTTTTGTATAAGGGGTCATCCATAAAACAAATGGTTAATTAAGGAGGTTGGAACCTTTTAATGTCAATAAAAATCAGGAAGGGGAGGGGGTTGACTAGTTGAATGTTTATATAGAGCAAGGGGGTGGGGGGTGACTTTTAAAAATTTTTTTTTTTTTTTTACATCAAATGAGAATAGAGGTGTAGGGGTTAAGATGATGCCAACATTGCATTGTTATTTATGGATGACTCATTAAACAATATCACCTATGTTTCAAAACTGAACAGAACGTGAATGAAAATTTTAACAAATGACTCGACTTAGTCTAGAACCGACCGGCTGTGTACTGGTCAGGAAAAACAATTTTGTGGCTGCCCTGACCTTGAATCTTTGGAAGTGTTCCGGCATTTGGGATAACGTTCCATGACAGGGTCAAAGTGACATTATCATTGCCCCTGTTGAGTACATTTTACAAGACAGTCTCAAAATCAGATACATTTAAAATTCTAAACATTAATAGGTTTTCTAGAAAATTATTTATGTTACTTACTTGAGTCCATTGCCAAAGTCCCAGAAATAATACTTGGTGTTGGCATTCCGAAGATCTAAGATGGTGTTGTCTCCCCTTTCCACAATTTTATCCCACAATACAACTTGGTTGAGTACCTGAAAATATTCAAACCATCTTGTAAACATACCCCCTATACAAATACTAAATGCAGGTTCTAGCTAGACATGCATGGATGAATTCTTAATGTATTTAAATTTGCACCACCATTCAAGAAATAAAAAAGCTGTATATATTCAAAGTTTGTTATCCATTTTACTTTTATAAGTTCTAAGCTGCGAATTTCACTGAAATTTTGTATGCGGGTTTATAATTAGAAACATCAAACTTTTTCTCATGATATAAAAGGGCAGCAGTATGAGCATACTTACATGGCCCTTGGTCTTGTATTCAGCAGTTAAATACAAAAACAGCTGCTTGACATTCCAGTTAAAAATTGGGCCAAGATGTTGCAAGAGTCAAGGAAATATTTAAAAAAACCAGCCTAGGTAAAAATAAAAAATAAACCTTGACTTGGACTACAATATTTTAGACCAATTGGTAAGTAAAAATCCTGTGCAATATACAATAAGGACTATGTAGTATGATTACACTATGAATATTTATCTGAAAGTACTTTTTAAAATTACAAGTTGTATGGATGTTTTCAGAGTACCAGGTCAGTTGTCCTTTCAAGAACTCCTGAAAATTCATTTGAAATGGACGTAAAATATTTACTAGATCATTAAAAAAGTTATTACACCATAGAAAAATCTTTATATATTAATTTTTATTAAAATAAACATCTTTGCTGAAAACAAATAATTTCTAAAAACTTAAAAATAGCAATTATTTTGATCAGATTTCCCAGGAACAAATAAATGACATTATGGTAGAAGGAATCGAGATAAAATACAAGTTAGTTGTGTCAGTTTTAAAAAGGATATCTGTAAACAGGTCAAAGGTGATGAATCCAAGGTCACTTTTCTCTCTGTCAGCTGAGTAATCTGGGACATTTTTGCTGTGAACAAAACATTGATATAATTATTATAATCAGTTGTGGAATATCAACAACTGCAGAATAGTACTCTCCATTAGCGTAGCGAGGGGGGGGGGGGGGCATATGTCCCCGGGCGCCGACCTTAGGGGGCGCCAAAATAGGTTGGAAAAATAAATTGAAAGGTTGAGGGGGGGGGGGTGCAAATCGAAATCTTGAGGGGTGGGGGTGTGCAAATCGAAAAGTTTGTCCCCGGGCGCCGGGAAGGGTCGCTACGCCTCTGGTACTCTCACTTGATATTGGTCCTTTAACTATATTATACTAAAAATTTAACACTCAGACCATTCCACTCAATAAGCAATTTTTCTTTTTTGAAACCTCAATGGCAGAAATGTGTTGGACTCTTAAAGGGCATCAAATCATTTAAAAATTCTGTGAATTTTTTTAATCACTTTTGTACAAATCTGGTGTAGCTTTGGTTATTAATATCAAAGGTCACTAACTAAACAATATTTGAAAACGGCTAAAACAATGTCATTTATTTCTCAGCACCACAGCATAATATAAATTAAATGTAAATTAATGAGCCTTAACTCTGTCATAAACAGTTTAGAAAAATTATCTACTGCAAGTGAAGTGGGGTTGGTAATGTCGATCTTGACTAAATCATAGCCAATTAAAGTTATTTAATATTTCAAAGGCGATATGACTAAAATGTCATGGAAAGTGTTTAAAAGTAAAAACAAATGTAGTTTCGAAGTTAACATTTTTTTTCAGTTTCTTTGATGTGCAAATGTAACTACATACTTTCTTAAAATATTAAAATTCTAATCTTTATTAAGTTTAAATTTTAAAATATTTCACAAAGTGTCAGGCCACCTAGATGATGAAATGCAAAAATTTTTTGTGGATGATTATAAATACCTGTGTCAGATAATAGACACTTCCATAGAATGGGCGTGTTGGGTTGTTAGTAGTATTGTAATCTCGACTAATTTTATGGTTAGAAATTAGGGTTAGGCATATGGTAGGACCAGGGTTGGGGGTTAGGGACAGGGTTAGCATTGACATTATAGGGACAGGGTTAGCATTGACATTAGCCAGCCATGTGTGTTTTTAGTTAACTACCACTAGTAACCTAATATCTCTTTTTTAAAGAAGATTCCATTATCGGACACCAGTGTAAATATTCTCCCAAATTTGTTTCATCTAAATGACATGTAAATAATTGTGACCAGGTCACGTTCAGTTCAGCAGGCCTATATTATACTAATTATAGTATACATTATAGAAAGAACACAAGTGTCTTCACTTTACTTCTCCCCCCCCCCCCCCCTTCAAGCAAATTGAAAATAGGCTAAACTTTAGCCTATAAGTATAGATTCTAGGAGTAAGATGTTTAACACTTAGATCTAGATCTAGTGCTTGTGATTAGCAATTTAATTTCTTTTTAATATAATTTGAATCCAGACATCTAGAACAGGGAAGACCTACCCCACCAACTTCTACCGACACGTCATCTTTCCCCATGAAAACACAGCAGATGGAAGACTTTTTTCAAATTACTTACACAGAAACCTTAGCGACGTTTAACTCTACTGGTCGCAAATGATCATTGAATACTGTTGTTAAAAAGCAGCCAAAAGTTAAAGCTGCCATCACGCTAAGCGTGAAGGCAAATAACGAATTTAATCGAGATGTAAAGGAGTTCATGTTTGGTTTTTTGACACCGGTCTTCCCGAGAAAATTGTTTATAGAGTAGCGGGCCTTAGGCGTAGTAAAACGTTTAATCAAACTGTACAAAACAATACATTTTTTATTTATTTAGCAAATATAAAATAAATAGGCATTAACAAATAAATACATAAATAAAAATAAATAAATAGAGGGCCTACTTAGAGATCTAAATACGATTTTAAAAACAGATTTTATTTTATTGCACTTAACCCCACCCCCAAAATAAATAAAATAAAAACTAACAAAAAAAAAAAAAACCCAGTTCTTTTTGTTTAAATAAAACAATACACCACTATGCAGGTAGATCTTTATAGTATAATATTTAATTAGTAATAATCTAAAACGACATAGTGTTGTGGGGCTAAAAGCATCCTCACCAAATATAACCTATATGACTATAATAATAGTATAAAGGCCTATATATTATTAATATAGCCCATAGGCCTGTATATATATATATATGTATATATATATATATATATATATATATATATATATATATATATATATATATATATATATATATATATATATATATATATATATATATATATATATAAAACCGTTTCTTTCTATATTTTCTAGATTGTTTTTAGCAGATCCTACTTTATAAAGGGAAATAACATACTAACACAAACTTAGACATTTGTTAATCAAGAGTTATATATTTTGCCTAAACATTATATAAAAAGAAAATGTTTTAAAATTAATACTATGTACAGCGATAGGCGGCGATTGTTATAACTTATCAATAAAGTTTAAAAAAATTTCAAATGTTGAAAAGTGAAGAGACCTTTCATATTTGGGTTCTTACACAAACGCGCTTAACAAAATATAGAGGTAAATTAGGTTTAAAAAAAATTTATTATGAATAAGCATAGGGATAGAATAAGAATTAGATCAAGGGGTTAGGATTAAATGCTAACATTTAACATGATTAACAGTTCTTTCTAAAAATTCTTTTATTTAAAAAATCATCGATTATCTCCCTTGTGTTGGTTACCGTTTTAAAAAATAAATTTGGAAATTAAGCCCACCCGACCACAAATTTTCTTCCTGTCCACATTTTTTATTTGTGTCGCTTCGCTATAGTAAAAAAAAACTATGGGATGGAGAACAGTCCAACCCTGATGTTGACTACAGCCCAACCCTGATGGTGACTCCAGTCTAACCCTGATGGTGAATGATGACCACTCCAGTCCAACCCTGATGGTGACCACTACAGTCCAACCCTGATGGTGGCCACTACAGTCCAACCCTGATGGTGACCACTCAAGTCCAACCCTGATGGTGACTACAGTCCAACCCTGATGGTGGCCACTACAGTCCAACCATGATGGTGACCACTACAGTCCAACCATGATGGTGACTCCAGTCCAACCCTGATGGTGGCCACTACAGTCCAACCCTGATGGTGACCACTCAAGTCTAACCCTGATGGTGACTACAGTCCAACCCTGATGGTGACTACAGTCCAACCCTGATGGTGACTCCAGTCCAACCCTGATGGTGGCCACTACAGTCCAACCCTGATGGTGACCACTCCAGTCCAACCCTGATGGTGACTCCAGTCCAACCCTGATGGTGACTACAGTCCAACCCTGATTGTGACCACTCCAGTCCAACCCTGATGGTGACTCCAGTCCAACCCTGATGGTGGCCACTACAGTCCAACCCTGATGGTGACCACTCAAGTCCAACCCTGATGGTGACAACTCAAGTCCAACCATGGTGGTGACCACTCCAGTCCAACCCTGATGGTGACTCCAGTCCAACCCTGATGGTGGCCACTACAGTCCAACCCTGATGGTGACCACTACAGTCCAACCTTGATGGTGACTACAGTCCAACCCTGATGGTGACCACTACAGTCCAACCATGATGGTGACTACAGTCCAACCCTGATGGTGACCACTACAGTCCAACCCTGATGGTGACTCCAGTCCAACCCTGATGGTGGCCACTACAGTCCAACCCTGATGGTGACCACTCAAGTCCAACCCTGATGGTGACTATAGTCCAACCCTGATGGTGGCCACTACAGTCCAACCCTGATGGTGACCACTCAAGTCCAACCCTGATGGTGACCACTACAGTCTAACCATGATGGTGACCACTACAGTCCAACCTTGATGGTGACTACAGTCCAACCCTGATGGTGACCACTACAGTCCAACCCTGATGGTGACTCCAGTCCAACCCTGATGGTGACCACTCCAGTCCAACCGTGATGGTGACCACTACAGTCCAACCCTGATGGTGACTACAGTCCAACCCTGATGGTGACTATAGTCCAACCCTGATGGTGACCTCTCCAGTGCAACCCTGATGGTGGCCACTACAGTCCAATCCTGATGGTGACCACTCAAGTCCAACCCTGATGGTGACTACAGTCCAACCCTGATGGTGACCACTCCAGTCCAACCCTGATGGTGACTCCAGTCCAACCATGATGGTGACCACTCCAGTCCAACCCTGATGGTGACCACTCCAGTCCAACCCTGATGGTGACACCAGTCCAACCCTGATGGTGACCACTCCAGTCCAACCCTGATGGTGACCACTCTAGTCCAACCCTGATGGTGACCACTCCAGTCCAACCCTGATGGTGACCACTCAAGTCCAACCCTGATGGTGACCACTACAGTCCAACCCTGATGGTGACCACTCCAGTCCAACCCTGATGATGACCACTCCAGTCCAACCCTGATGGTGACCACTCAAGTCCAACCTTGATGGTGACCACTACAGTCCAACCCTGATGGTGACCACTCCAGTCCAACCCTGATGGTGACCACTCCAGTCCAACCCTGATGGTGACCACTACAGTCCAACCCTGATGTTGACTCCAGTCCAACCCTGATGGTGACCACTACAGTCCAACCATGATGGTGACCACTCCAGTCCAACCCTGATGGTGACCACTACAGTCCAACCCTGATGGTGACTCCAGTCCAACCATGGTGGTGACCACTACAGTCCAACCCTGATGGTGACCACTACAGTCCAACCCTGATGGTGACTCCAGTCCAACCCTGATGGTGACCACTACAGTCCTACCCTGATGGTGACCACTACAATCCAACCCTGATGGTGACTACAGTCCAACCATGATGGTGACCACTACAGTCCAACCCAGATGGTGACCACTACAGTCCAACCATGGTGGTGACCACTACAGTCCAACCCTGATGGTAACCACTACAGTCCTACCCTGATGGTAACCACTACAGTCCAACCCTGATGGTAACCACTACAGTCCTACCCTGATGGTAACCACTACAGTCCTACCCTGATGGTGACCACTCCAGTCCAACCCTGATGGTGACTCTAACCCAACCATGATGGTGACCACTCCAGTCCAACCCTGATGGTGACCACTACAGTCCAACCCTGATGGTGACTCCAGTCCAAACCCTGATGGTGACTCCAGCCCAACCCTGATGGTGACCACTACAGTCCAACCCTGATGGTGACTCTAGTCCAACCCTGATGGTGACTCCAGTCCAACCCTGATGGTGACCACTACAGTCTAACCATGATGGTAACTCCAGTCCAACCCTGATGGTGACCACTACAGTCCAACCTTGATGGTGACTACAGTCCAACCCTGATGGTGACCACTACAGTCTAACCATGATGGTGACTCCAGTCCAACCATGATGGTGACCACTACAGTCCAACCCTGATGGTGACCACTACAGTCTAACCATGATGGTGACCACTACAGTCCAACCCTGATGGTGACTCTAGTCCAACCCTGATGGTGACTTCAGTCCAACCCTGATGGTGACCACTACAGTCTAACCATGATGGTGACCACTACAGTCCAACCATGATGGTGACCACTCCAGTCCAACCCTGATGGTGACTCCAGTCCAACCCTGATGGTGACTCCAGTCCAACCCTGATGGTGACCACTACAGTCTAACCATGATGGTGACTCCAGTCCAACCCTGATGGTGGCCACTACAGTCCAACCCTGATGGTGACCACTCCAGTCCAACCCTGATGGTGACTCCAGTCCAACCCTGATGGTGACTACAGTCCAACCCTGATTGTGACCACTCCAGTCCAACCCTGATGGTGACTCCAGTCCAACCCTGATGGTGGCCACTACAGTCCAACCCTGATGGTGACCACTCAAGTCCAACCCTGATGGTGACAACTCAAGTCCAACCATGGTGGTGACCACTCCAGTCCAACCCTGATGGTGACTCCAGTCCAACCCTGATGGTGGCCACTACAGTCCAACCCTGATGGTGACCACTACAGTCCAACCTTGATGGTGACTACAGTCCAACCCTGATGGTGACCACTCCAGTCCAACCCTGATGGTGACCACTACAGTCCAACCCTGATGGTGACTCCAGTCCAACCCTGATGGTGGCCACTACAGTCCAACCCTGATGGTGACCACTCAAGTCCAACCCTGATGGTGACTATAGTCCAACCCTGATGGTGGCCACTACAGTCCAACCCTGATGGTGACCACTCAAGTCCAACCCTGATGGTGACCACTACAGTCCAACCATGATGGTGACCACTACAGTCCAACCTTGATGGTGACTACAGTCCAACCCTGATGGTGACCACTACAGTCCAACCCTGATGGTGACTCCAGTGCAACCCTGATGGTGACCACTCCAGTCCAACCGTGATGGTGACCACTACAGTCCAACCCTGATGGTGACTACAGTCCAACCCTGATGGTGACTATAGTCCAACCCTGATGGTGACCTCTCCAGTGCAACCCTGATGGTGGCCACTACAGTCCAATCCTGATGGTGACCACTCAAGTCCAACCCTGATGGTGACTACAGTCCAACCCTGATGGTGACCACTCCAGTCCAACCCTGATGGTGACTCCAGTCCAACCATGATGGTGACCACTCCAGTCCAACCCTGATGGTGACCACTCCAGTCCAACCCTGATGGTGACACCAGTCCAACCCTGATGGTGACCACTCCAGTCCAACCCTGATGGTGACCACTCTAGTCCAACCCTGATGGTGACCACTC